TTAACTGGACAAAGTCTACCTCTTCTCCCAATCTCAACCCTGCGGCAAACCCCATCATCGCCGATAACACTGTCACTCCCCCGCTGCTATCACCCATGGATACCACCCGCCCTGTCCCAACCCCTGAATCGACCGCAGCGGTCAGCACCACCACCACCACCACCACAGCGACTTCACATCCTCCTCTGATTGGACGGTTGCCGACGTTCCATCAAATCCAAACCTCACTAACCTCCCTATCTCCAGCGACATAGATTCGATTCATGCCTGTCCTCATGGCGATCGCACCTCCACCTCACACTCAACTTTGGTCGTTCACTCACGAGACCATCGCACAGAGACTGGCGAACCAGTGTCTGGAGCACCAACCTACACTCGCCGCATCAGCCTCCACTGTCCACGTCGCACTCGCACATTTATTCACCGCATGGGCCAATTAGACTTCATGCGCATTCACAAAAACCAGCGGTAGACAACCGCCAGCTGCATCACACCATCATATCCTCCCTACCCAGCATCTCAGCGCACACCAACATCATCTATCACAAACACCCAACTGCCACCTCCCATGCAAGTGGGAAGTGTGCTTCTCGTCCGCTTCACCACGCGGCTTCCTTGCTGCATGTGTGATCGGAATCTGGGATTTACGTCCCAACATTGGGTCAACATTGGGCCATATCGGATTCTGACGGGCGTTATTGGATCCGCAACGAATGCCAACATTTCGGGGTGCGATGACAGACCCAGTTGTCGGCAGACGTCGAACACACAGGGACCCCTCCCGCCTCTCCATTGTTGTTGTTGGTCAAAAACCTGGTCATTTGCCATGTGAACCAGGGGTGTGGTGGCGCGCCTGGGTGCGGCTCCGGCCATGTCAGTCACCAACGCCTTCCCTCGCCTCCGGTCTTCTTGACTCTGTCTTGACACCGGGTCCAGGTGGGGGAGAAGGGAGCGCGGTAGAGGCTGTGCAAGTCCAGTATCACTATAGACTAACTCACGCACAAGTCACCGTCCCTGCTCTCACCTTGCTGTGGAGCACACGGTGGACATCGTCGAAACCGACAGTCGAACTCGGATGAGTCGTGGCTCTCAGTCGACGACGGTTTGGTAACCAAGCCTTGAAGGCTGACAGCCCCGGCAAATGCAGGGTCACGTGTTGCCCTGCTGGGTCTAAAGTTCTACAAGCGTCTGCTGTGTCATGATCAGCAAACCATGGCCCTTTCGGTCTGGTGTATGCTGGTAGTTCTCTGACAGCTGGTTCCCTGTCGGTAGACGCGCTTGCGTTCCCGCTGGGTATAGAGGTGGTGGCATGGTTGCCCAGTCATCCACGTCCTTTCCATCGTTGTTGCTGTTGGCCAAAGTCCTGGTCAAGAGTATGTTGTGGACCAGGGGGTGTGGAGTGAGGCATGAAGGTGCGGGTTCGGCCTCGCATTCCACCTGCGCCCTCCACGCCTCCGGTCTTCTTGAGTGTGTCTTGCCACCAGGTCCAGGTAGAGAACAGGAGCGAGTGCGATATATGTTGCACAGGTCCACCCTGACTATAAACTAATTCACGAGCAAGTCACCGTGTCTGCCTCATCTGGCTGTGAAGCACGCGTTGGACAGTGTCGGATGCGAGGGTCGCACTATCACTTTATTTTCCGCCCTCAGCAACCATTTCGGCATATGTTCAGCTGATCGAGTTGTCAACTGTCTTTGAGTGGGCCCAGTGTACTTGCATCCGCAGCTACATGCAAACGCATAACTGCTGTTTAATGCGACGTGAATGGGTAGGATGCTTTAACTGATTCAACTGAAACAGCCGTCGTAGGGCTCATCGACATCAACTTAGAGGCGGCGTACTTTCGTTCAGTCGTGTATCGAAGTCGTCGCTTGATCACGTTTTACACGGTATTGTCATCGAAAGAGAGGTAAATTTTCGCCAACTCTTTGGCATGGATATTTCTGCAGAACCTTCTTGTCTGGGATGACGATGAATTTATCCGGATACCCGTTTCCAAGAAAAAACGTTCTTCAGGAAGCGGATTTCGTTATCGATCGTATGTGAGGAACAGATTCTAGTGGCTCTGTTGAACGGACACAAAACCAAGTTTCGTCTTCTCTGAGATGGAGCGAATCTGAAGAAAGGCATTTATCGTCCTTTCTAAGTGGTTTTTTGATAGGTGGATTGCTGAATGGGATCATATGTCCACCTAGGTACAAGATGGTCTAAGAAAGGCAGTTTGTCTTCCTTGTCATACTCGATCGAAAATTCGATCTTCGCACGTGCCCTGTTCATAGCCTTAAGTAGTAGTTTTCCATCCCTTGGGTTTTTGACCGTGGCGAAAATGTCATCCACGTAAAGCATCATTCCAGGAAAACAGTGTTTCAGTTAGGTGGGTTACTTAAAAGGCATTTGCCTGCTGTTGGATTTGGACGTCTATCCTCCGCGTATTCCGACCATACGCCGATCAGAATGAAGGTGGGTCTTGCACATTCCAAAGCACTTCGTCGTGCACACTTTATTAGGGTGGAGCAATCGTAACCGATGATGAATAAACTCCAACGCGACATCATCGATATCGCCTTAGGAGATGGGGAAGAGGAACAAAAAGAAAGCGACTACCTCTCGCGCGACCGCTTTCCGTGAAAATTGTTGAAGGAGACTGCCATGGTTAGCTCCACGTAACACCTTGTCGACTGGCACCGTCCAGATGATATTTGCCAAACATAAGAATTACTGTTCGGATAGATAGCAATCACAAGAAATAGGCTAAACAGGCTTGTTCGAGGGACTGGAAAATACGTAAAAATAATACAGTAGTGGCAGATGTTTCTATTATCACCTCTAACAAAACCCTTCTAGTCATAAAAGAGAGACGCTCATTTATGAACCCATCTGTAGGGATCTGAGCGTCCTTCGGACCCAACAGTGGGAAGATACACGAATGCTAAAAACGCAAGTTACATGAAACAGGTCCAGTGTCTGGAAAGGCCCCATGAGCACACGTGGACGAAGTGCAGAACGGACTGTGGTTCGTACTTAGGATGGACAATATTCCGGAGGCATTGGAGGCCTTCCCGGGCCATAGGACAGAAGCCTTTCCAATTTATGAAGCTGAAAGGCGAAACCAGGCCTAGCGGCCGACTGACCTACTTACAACACCACCGGAACGGAATACCAACCAGTAATCAATGCGGACATGGTAATTGTGGACTAAGTGGCTGTATGTGCTACTTTTTGTGCCAAACACTCGCCTGCATGACAAACCGTCCTGAATCAGTTCTATATAAAAAGCAACGTCCTAAGTTTGATATTCTTTAAAAGTGAAGATGCTGAACCCATAAAATGTCTTTAGCCATTTACTCAAGTTAGGTATCGTGGATGCCGTAAAGCTTGGAGAGGGGAGGACGGATGCAAGGGGTGGTAAGGAAGACACCGGCAAAAAAGTTGGGAAACATCCGAACGCTAAAGCAGTGGCTACCCAAACCCAAAGGAAAGAGGTAATGCATACGATGATGAAGGCGTAGAATGCGACGGTAGAGTCGAACGTAAATACTGTAGCCGTCACAGGAAGCATTGGAGGACAAAACGGTAGACCAAGACCGTAGCAGGTTAATGCAGTCCACAGGCGGCTGAGAGTGCGTAAACAATAAATTGTAAATGCTATGTCCACGGCGACCAAGGAAGCTAATTCTTCCAAGCTCGTGAGGCGAGATGCCGCAGCGTACACGTAGCCGACAGGCTGTCAAAACGAAAACGAATATCTTAAGGGGAAAGCGAACGGAGGTCTTCAAAAACTCGCCCACAGACATACACAAGTTGTATCGAACCGGTAATTGAGGACGGGCAAGTATGTGTGTTAGTCGATGATGTGTTAGATTGTGGAGCCAAAGTCGACGAAGGTATTGGTCAAGAGTACCGACAAGAAAAACTGAAACAAACAGCTACATGCGCGTATCCTGTGAGGTCGATTTTCCCTCGCAAGCTTCTCCGGAGAACGACTGGTGGATGTACACCCAGGGTTGAGAACCGCATCTCCGGTCGCTAAGGTAGCAGAAGTATTGCACCAACATGAAAGGGACGGCAGGCCATCTAGGCAAATAACGCTATGAGTGCTTCGCGAACTGAGGGAAAGCGGCAGAACCGCAACTACTGGTGGAACCATGCACACCCGGTAATTACGTGTACTGTGTGTTGTGGAAAAGGGAAGCAAGGTCGTAAGCTGCGACAGGGTGGACGATGTAAACGCGCGTGCGGAGAAAGTAGGGGTGGAGGGAGGAATACAGTCGGCAAGCGAAGACCGTCACCCTAACCACTCCCCGCCCACCCATCCCTCATTCCCCAAAACCGAACGGAATATCCGCAGGCCAATGCAGAAAGGGCTTTTTAACGAAAACAGTATGCCTGCTGAAAACAAAATAACAATGATAAAAATAAACAGAAAAATGCGCCCGCGTTGCCAGCTCCCACCGTGTAGGCTCTTAAGTGTTCAAACCACAGACTCGTTATGCATTGAAAAGAAGCAAAAATGCCAACCATCTGCGATCACTCTCGCTAGGGTTCAATGGACAATATAAGTAAAGTCGGTTGTAGATTGCTCGTGGTCGGCAGCTGGGTGATCCTGTCATTATTCACGTCAAGCTAGATAGTCTGGATGCTCTTCATCTAAGGTTGCTGCCTTTTTGTACTCTTCGGCTGACGAAACCCTTGACAGGATTCGCAGAAGAACAAATGAATTTAAGTCGAAAAACGTGAAGATTGTGTAAAAAATAATTCCTATTAGAAACTAGACTCTCCTATGTTCACATAGAAAATAAGGAGGCCGTTTTTTCTGCATCTGACCTGACCTACACAGGTTCGACCATGGCATACACTCTTGATACAGGTATGGGCAGATAGTGGGACAAAGTCAAAGATATGTGAGAGTGGAAATAAGGCGAGAAAACGCAAAGTAACTGCGGTGGAGAATCGGGGAAGAGCGCTGCAAACAGGAAAAAGTAGATGGAGATTACACCATCTAGGCTGTCTTGTTGACCGGGATAGGTGGCCTGCTCACGGGATTTGATTCTGTCCAGTCCAGTCGCTTTCTCATCCACGTCTATAAAGAGATATTATAAAACCGTGTAATGGAAAGTGTCAAATTTTTGAACATTTTCGGATCATTTGCGTTTCCACACTTCATGTAAACGACTTCCGCGTAACGTATGGGATTTGTTTTAAGAAAACTCTAATAGACGAAAGTATCACTGGAAGTGAAAATTTTATCTGTCCTTCGGGTCTCATGATTACTGAAAGAGGAAATAGACTGAAAAGGCCGGAAAAACGTCAAAGTCCCTGATCGAGTAATTTAAAATAAAAGGGTCGCGTCTATATTGGTGTTGCGTCAAACAACTTAAAGGTATTGGGTGTCAAATTTGAACGCCAGCGCTGATGCAGTAAAAAAAATGATGCTCACTGTGAAAGGTAAATTATTTAAGCCTACTGGAATGCTGGTCTCCCAAGAAATACAAATATAGAATGACACATACATACACATACACAACATATTGTGTAAACCGTTGAGATATACCCAAGATCGACGATAGGGATTCGTTAAAAATTGCCTGTTGGTTGGTAATCTGCTGTCCAATGATCAGCTTGCTTGCATTCCCTTCTTGGTAACTGCTTATTGCAGGAAACGTTTTTAAATGGACCGGCTCTCTCTTAATCAGTCAAGTCTTTGCCACAGACAACTTCCAAATCTCCACCTCCTTTCCTCGTGCTCGGTTGGAAAATTATAGTACTTTTGTCTTAGGGGAGCCTAAGGCCAGAACGTATGCTATGCATCGGATCTTGTTGTGTGCCGTTGTTAATTGACCCTTCGACCATCCATAAGACGGGTGAATTTAGTCTTCAGTTGTGGCTACACTATCTTAGTTTCATTGTGCTCACGTGTTCCGCAGCCATTTTACTCTTCAAATAAGTAAGTTTATATGTTACGCAGAGACTTCTGCTGGTATGGGTGTCATGGACAGATTACGGTTGAGGAGCATGCTGCCGACCTGCTAAAACATTTTCTGTGCATGCTACAATGCTGACATTTTATTTATGCTACCACTGAGTGTGTTCCTCAAGCGAAAGAAGCGTGCCCGCATGACCCTGGTGCATGGACGTGCTCGTGGGCCCATGTCCGGCCTCGCATCGGGGTTCAAACTACCATCAGACTTCCCTACAGAATAAACGCCTACTGGTTCCTTGCCACTTCTCATCCTGTAAAACGAGACTTTGTCTTGGTCGCTGCAGTTTCTCCCTAGGCATATTAATCGCGGATAACAGGCTCCGAAGACTCCAGTCTTCGTCTACGGAGACCCAATTTAAGTCGAAAATCAACCCAGGAAATTGGGATTCAACTACACGGATGTACTTTAAGGAAAAATTTCATTTTATGCACATCGATTAATTGGTCTATTTCACAACAATGCTTTTGAAACAGTGGCTGATTCCTGGGCTGCCTCGTAAGTCTAGTGACAATACTGGAAAGTCAAGCTGCTGGCGAAGGCAGGGAAAAAGGTAGGTTTAACAGTGAAACATGGAAGGTCACTGAAACTACTTTATGCATAAATTTGGGCACTTCCACTTCAGTCCTAATGCTGTGCTTTTTCGTATTGCTCATTTCAACCGTCCTCGTGGTGGGGGGCGTGTATGGGCGGCCGTCTGAAACTATCAGATTAAATGCCATTTAACATTCTGTCCGGCAATTCTAAAAGTGTTTTGGTTAATTGGTTTAACCTGGACGAAATAGTTACGACATTAGTCAACTTAAAGGTAACTTTGTCACAGCAAATATGTTCTCTGGGATTCACGCTGAGAACCGATTTTTATTCCCCGAAGACAGATTATTTACGCAATCGTTCACTGTTTCCAATGAGAGCAGGATATAAGTCCTGGCAATATGACAGTTATACTTAGCCTTTATTTCAAATCCGTTCGCATTTATTTTCACACCAAAACAACGTGTTATGTTTTGGAATGTCTCTTCTCAATGACCAATGGAACATCCATTATAGACAAGTTCCTATAGAAGTTGTAAATTAATTTGAAAACCATTCAGGTAATTTTTGACACCCGACCCAAATTTTCGAAATTTAAGCGGCCTTAATCACATCCCGTGGACAACCACTTCAGCTGATGACTTGTCAATTAGACATGCTCTTCCTGAGGGACTATGTAGAATAAAACTGATGGTGGTCGGTTAAAACCTTCATGGAAGGTCAAACGCAAATGGCATAAATTGCACCATCTGAGGTTTTATTTCGTCATTGGAGACTTACTCTGTACTGCTTGTCGCGCTCGATCATTTCTCTTCGTCGTTTGCCTGCCTACGCGAAATATAAAAAAAGACAAAGGTGTCAGTTGAATGTATCCGAGATAGGAAAGTTTCTCAGAATGTTCCAGATAGTTATCTCATTTCTCTCAGCAATTCCTTCTGATCAGTAATTATTGTTAACAGCTCGAAAATTCACCGGTACAATTCTGAATGTCTATATGGTCTTCTGGTCTTGAGGTGAAAATGCGACCAACATTACGAACGAGACAAAAGCTCATCAAAGAGGTAGGCAGCTGCTGCTGTAGCCTATGTACCACACAGCCTACGTGAGAATACCGGCCTCTATGCGACTACGGATGGACGACCTCTGACCAGCAACTTATCTGTGTGACCGGAAAGGTTGTTAAATACTGTGAAGTGGGACGTCACTACAGTCTCCAACAGGAAAAGTAAGTCTAACTCAAAAAGGTTTTGAGTAAAAACGCGGCACTGAAATCAACTCCTTTACGACCGGTATCCTCTTTAAAATAACCCCGGAATTCCCCTTATCGATTTTAAAAGATGAATGTAAAGTGGAACCAGATCGGGTGAGGTCCTAGCTACAACAGTGATGGTCACACACCAACTTGACATATGCATATATTATAACAGATGGGCCCTCACCGATTAGGTTGCGGAACGTACTCGTCCCGTTGTGCGTTGGGGCCCATACTAGGACCCTCGTTACCTGATCGGTGAGCGCCAGACTGTCATAATTAATATTCCTTATCACAGTCGACAGGACAACGAACACGTGGCTCAATGGTAGAGCATCAAACTCCATGACCAAAGATCCTGGGTCTGAATCTCAAGTGACCCACACTTGGGTTGAATATGGCCGGCTGATGACGGCTAACAAGCCAGAAACGGCCATCCCAGTCTCCCATGTCTTTGTCGGTACCATCTCATATAATATATATATATATCAGGTGAATAATTTCAGAAATTAATCAGTGCAGAACTTGGAGTTAAATCTCCGGGACATGACTTTTTACAGTCAGAACCGAAATTTCAATGAACATTTGAGTCGAAGACAATCAACTACTGTGGAATAACCACGTAATGCCCATTCTACAAACAAGTAGTACTACGAGTAGTATGAATTCCATATGGTAAAGGTATTATACCGTACTCCCGACCTAGATACTTGCTAAAAGCCCAGACACGTGTTTCGCCGATATTCTGCCGCTGCGTGACACAGCTGCGAGATGTTCGGCTCTTCAGTGGGCCCCCAGCGTTCTCTAGCGGTTTCCGGTATATGAACTCCAGAGAATAATCAGGTGAATAATTTCAGAAATTAATCAGTGAGTTCCGTATGAAAGATCGGTGAACGCCCCATAACATTGTATATTCCCGATCGAAAACAGACAGGGCAACGAGCTCGTGGCCCGGTGAGTAGATGCGTTGACTTCTAAACCAACAGATCGCGAGTTCGAGGCTCGGGTGTTCCACACTTCGGGCTTGGGTATGGCTGGCTGACGACGGCTAATAAGCCAGAAATGGCCATTCCAGTCTCCCTTGTCTTTGTCGGTAATAACGTACTGCCTATATCATGTGCCGCTGTGCGGTTGCTGGTTGGGCTCGAGAGAGATCCCGTAAGACACAACGGGACGAGTGAGTTCTGTAGAAACGATCGGTGAGCGTCCCTCTACCTATTGATATATAAGGATGCTGGCTATTGAATGAGTCTCTTCTCGACCACCTGAAAAGGTCGTATTCGTTTAAAAGTAACGACCTAATTAATATGCACTTTTCCAATGATTTCTGACGCCTTCGTAAGTTTATCCATATTTGAGGAAGCACATACAATAGCACTCTATCTTATGTTCCTGTCGTATTTAATTTCCTCCTCAATTCTCTTACTTAAAGAAAGTGCATCTTTCGGTTTTCAGAAAAGTTTACCCATTCCTGAATTGTCATGCTCATTCCTAACCACCGGTCCCCTTCCGCATAAACGCAAACGGCGCGTTTTAAATATGCCACACAATCGACTGCTAATTCATTAATGTGTGAGAAAAAATGGAATAGATTCGATTATATAAGTAAAATTTAAAACACCTTACAGTTAGCACAGTGTGCTCAGAGAGAACAGGTTGTTTATTTGGAGTTTCATTTTCTAAAAGAATGTATACTTCCATTTTCTTAAGTCGAGTCTAGCATTGAACACTCTAAATAAGTCCGTGGTCGGAATTTTACACAGAATATTTAAAAGCCAGTCAGTTCGCATATGGTTCAGTTATCAAATGTTACTAATTAGCGCTCAAAATAAGATGAAATATCCCCTTACCAAAACTACGCTCGCGTACATAGTTAGGTCATTTTCAGGGAAAACTATCCTATTATGAACATTGACTGCATTACAACAGAATGACAGCGTTTTCACAATATTACACACTCTGGAGTAGGGCTGGATGATACTGAACAACCATCTAATAAGTAAAACATCAGCCGTGACATTAGAGGAAAAATAGTGACTTCGCAAAATGTTTCCAGTCGCACGTTCAACACCAAACAGAAGTGCTCAAACAGCAGCAAAGTGAACAAACTGCGCTAAGCATAAGCGAGTACAGAGACAGTTGGAGGATGTTTACACCAGAGATTATTGAGGAATAGGAACCTGGTCATCAGTAAACCAACAACTGCGCTGAGCTCTTCACACACTTTGATGATAGCACAGCAGCGCTCATGAAAACTTCGGGCTACAGAGAAGTCCCACTGTGGGCACTGTTGCCGAGTTCAATGCCGCCGAAATCAGTAGCAGGAGGCAGCTTTTTTGGTCGGTTTCCAAATTTAAACTGCTGTTTCTGTTGTGTTTCATCCCCGAAGAGAAAAAAAGCACAGCCCTTAAGTAATCAAGCCGGCTGGAAACTAAACGGTCCAAATCGTCCTTTTCGGTTAAGGGTAGTAAGAACAATATGTCAAGCCACATCATTTTTTATCCTATAAAATTTCATCCATGCCATGTATGTATTGCCGGTCGTCTATTAGAGTTTATTCGTACCCCTCGTCAGGACCGCTGACTCTTGCCCCCTAAGCTGACACTATTACAAGCGACAGTTACAAGCAAAAGAGTGCTCGATCCGGTGAACACATCATTTTCCTCAGATTATCGACCCGGTTCTCTTACTTTTGCTAACCTGAGCTCAAGTTTTGAGCCCTCAGTCCTCTTTTAACAGAATTTCTCATCCTCCATCTAACCAACTGCTGAGTGTCCACCCACTGAAAAGGCATTCCAGCTTCCCGTATAGAATAATTTCCTTGCGTTATTCCATTTGTGCATTTTCGAAAGTCTTATACGTCACAGCCGAAATCCTAGGCCTATGCAAATCACATACACCTGAGTATCTGTGCTTTCAGACGTTCGCAGTGATCATTACAAAGACCTTTGGATATGCCTAGTATATCTGATTTTTTAAATTAGGATATGTGGCTTAAATTATCGGATCGCTTACCCTTGAAGAAAACGGTGCAGTTTGAACAATTCACTTACGCCAAAATAAACCCAGCATATGAAGACAATGTGTGCAACAAAGTAGAAAATGCAGAAGGCAATGAAGACACCGCGTTCGACGCGATTGAGCAGATTGGTTCTTTGATCTTCCAGCTCCTTCATTTCAGCCCTTATGAGATCGACTTGTTTCTGCCTTTCAAGCAGCCGACGTTGAAGTGCTAGATGTATTGCCCGCTGAAGAATCGTCAGTTCTAGAAAGACGATTTCAAAAACCAACTAGTCAATTTACCCCGCCCCTCATTGGTTTCATTCGTAGAGGTTGGTTTGAAGCGTAGAGCATCGGTGAGTGAGTCGTCCATCCACTTTGGAATAGCTCGCCTCGGGATAAGAAGCTGATTGAATAAAAATCAAAATTATACCCTTGGGATTTGGCAAAGCGATTGGCAGGGATAAAGTATATGCGCGGCGTCCGAAAATAACCGGTGGGCCGTGTCTTTCGGAATGGTGGTAGTAGGGGTTATGCGGGTGGGAACTCACAACGGGCAGTGTGGAGGCGAGGGGTGTAATTGAAAAAAATCAAAAACCGACGTGAAGCTTTGTCTGCGGTACAACAGCAAACGGAAATCAGCCGCAACATTCAAGAGAAATTTAAAAAATATTAATCGGAAAAGTTGAGGAAATTGAATAAACTGCCGCCGGCTAATTTACATGGGTCAGAGTCCAAGGTATTTCGTGGCCAATAGGGGTAAAGAGCTATGAGTGCCAGATGACGTTTATTCGCGCAGGTCGTGGGAAGTAACGACGAGCCCATCAGCGTACGAGGAAATAAGTAAATGCAAGGCATGAGGCGAGAATGAAGAAAACCGACGTAAGATTATCATAAAAATGCTAGTTCTGTGGCTTGATAAATTCACCAGCGTTTTAGCACTCCTGCTTTACTGGCAGACATATGCATCCCGTCTACCAATATTTCGAGAATTTTTTACTATCTGACCGCTCTTCGTGTCGAACGTTTCTTAAATTGAGTTTTGAAAGTTGTTCGCGACTTACTAGTAATACGCAGATTTCCTTTTGTCTGCTATAAAGCAGAATGAGGTATGTGTAAATAAAAGAATGGTAATGGTGATTAAGAAATACACGTATATATCTGTACTCGTGGTAAAGATTTTTATGAAAGCGACAAAAAGTAGGGAGCGACCTATATATGATTTATTGCATCTTATAGGCAAGCAGTACAATCGAACCCGGAAGCCAGTCAATCACACCATGATTTACCAACCGAAGCAGATGAAATTATGCATGAAATCAGTCTCAATAAACTGGTACAGTATTGCAAGGCACAGGACTACTGCCCACAATCCTAACGTGCAAATGCGGAAGGCGTATGCCGTAGCAAACCAGTGAGCGGCACACGGATGGTTTCCACTTCAGATGTAACTGCTGTGGCTCGAGGAAAGCCCTACGCACAGGTTCAGTATTAAAAAACAGCCGATTAACAATAAAACAACTGTGAATCTGTCCCGCATTTATAAGATGTAGAAGAGTGAATGATTCCTTTGATGAAGTGAGAGTATCGCAGCCAACGGCAGTGGAATAGCACTCGATATGTGAAAATGTGTGTTCAAAGACACTCGAAAAACTAACTGGACGATTAAATTGCCCGGTTATGGAGGTGTAAATAGAAGAAACGACGGTAAGTCACCGGAAGTACAACGTCAGCCGGCTGGGAAGGCAGTTGTGACTGCTTGGAATGTATGATACTAAGCAAAAGAAAGTTGTCTTTGAACAAGTTACCAACAGAAGCTGGCAGGCACCAAGACCTGTAATAACAAAAATGGGTCGTCAAAGGTAACATGATGGTAACGGATGGGTAAAAAGCGCATACTCACATCCGGACAAACGAATACAAGCCCTACACGGTCAGCCATTTTACCAGCTTTGTTAACCCTACTACCGGCCGACATGCAAATTCTATTGGAGCAAACTGGAGTCACCTTAAAAGAAAACTAGGTGAAGGAGGCCTCGTGTCCGGCCGAGCGGTATGGACGCACGTGGACGAAGTGCAGTACCGTCTGTAGTTTGGATTGTACAACGCAGGCCTGAGGAATGCATAGGAAACCTTTCTGCACCATATTGCGAAAGTATATTTCGTGAATTGTCATTACCCCAACTGAATTACTCACCGTGTAGGCAATCTGTTTCACATAAAGTAATTCTGATTACTCTGTTTGGGATACGTTGAGGGTGGGGGAACGACACTGTAACTCACAGAGGATATTGAGGAGATCATGCCATGATGTCTTCCGTTGGGTACTCGGACATGACGGCGATAAGTGTGCCTCTTACAGTCCCCCAACTGCGGACAAGGAAAGGGCGTGGAAAAGGCGGGGCAATAAGTCCATGTAATCACAGTTGCTGCACTATTTCCCAGGCGCGGTTTAGGTCAAAGAATTTCATACTCTCTCGGTTATAGCCGCCGAAGTACCTGACTGGATTTCGACCGAAGGCACTTTATTTTGCTTTTGACTAAAGAAGTACGTGTGGAGGGTGTAGAACGATCAATCTATGTAGACATTTTTGAATCATCGCGTCCTCGGGACGGTGTGGGTCATCGAAAGTCATCCTGCCGGTGCAGGAGTCGTCAAAATGCCTGACTGGAATCCATCTGAAAATACTTTTTTACCATTTTATTAAAGTATTGTGTGTGGGAAGTGTAGAACAGTGAGTCAATGTGAATATTTCAGCAACACCGATTTCTCGGGGCCACGCAAGTCGGCAAATTTCATCCTGTTGACGGAGGGCCGACCAAAAACTCTACCGAAAAACACCAGCTCAGAAAAATATGATAAGTGGTTCTTTACAGTTTTCGTTACCACGCACATATACTTAATCCTTGTCGAGAGATTTCTTTTTATGCGCCTTTGGCGCTCATCAGCCACCCACCTCTAGTAACCATGTCAAAGCCTGGCTCACATGACTGCCTCTTCGGGTGGGCGGGCATGCCTACACCCGGCCTGTGGCATGTCCCCACTCTGCCTGATCAATGGCGAACAATCCGTACAAATGTGGCCATACCCGCAAACCACCTAATGCTGGGCGCCTGCACATCCTTCAGGCTGCTAATGCTAACAGTCAGCCTACTGTATCAGATTTGGTGGATTCCACGTGGTGCAGTAGGCTGGGCTGGTAACTTGACCCAACTGTGATTAAACTCACGGCTGCCAGTGGGACCCCCTAGCTCAGGTGGCTGGGGCCTCAGCTGTACCCAAACCCTTCGTTTACCGGTTCGAATCCCACCGAGGTCGTCGTGTTTTTCACAGTTAGGTCAAAATAAAAGTCTGGTACATTCATGTGTTATTTTAGGCTTGATCACTCACGCAAGGCTTAGTTTGTAGGATGCGTCATGCTCTCACAGGCCATTCGGACCAGCCGAGTTAGTAACCAAAGCTCCTACGCAGAATCAACCCCCCCTATTGTTATCACCACTTCTCTTGAACACGGCGGGTCCTGCAATTGTTGTGGTCAGGATATACCCAATGCCTAGGCCAATACATCGTAAAATATCTGTAGGCTGTTTACTCCGAAGAGTGCTAACGATTATTAACGATGCAGTTCTACTGAACAGCCGTCATAAAGATGACGTAAATTAAGCAATAAAAACTCCGTATTTCAGAGTTCCATGGTGGTGTAATGCATGTCAGCTAACGGCCAAGATTTTTATCTACTGCTTATTACATTATAATAATATGCACGTTAGGCTGTGTAAAAGTTCATTGCTGCATACCTTACAAGCACCCAAATCAGTCAAATTCCAAAAAGAAGTAAAATGCCCGTAACTATTTTAAAAGGCGTTCGCAACTGCATTTAGTCTCCTCGAGTTTTTCATGATCTGATTGGAAGACGGGACACAACATTCTGTTATGCAAGCTCCTTCTGTCAGATCGAATCCTGATTTAGATCTGAGGCCGTCAGGGCCTTGGGTTGGCGTATAATTAATTGACGACGATAAATACACCAGGGCCTCGAAGCTCAAGTGGTTAGAGCGTTGGCTGTACCAAAGCTTTCCCCTTACTGCGTGGGTTTGAATTCCACCGAGGAGCTGAGTTTTTCACTGTTCGGTCAATGTGAAAACCGGGAATCATCACTACATTTCAGGAAGGCGTAATCAGAGTAGAGGGACACGAAGGCCTTGCCGATAAATATGCCTTGTGAAACCCTTTAAAAGAGTAGTGGCGTGCATTTTTAAAACTCAAAATAAACCAGCGTACAATGCCAGTAGTGAATTAAGTGGGGTAAGGAGCAGCGTATCCTTGCTACAGTCGTCATATTCAAAGACTCGTTCAATAATTCTATAATCACCCTAGTTGTCCCGATGAGAGCGACTGCATGCGTTCGCAAAATCTAAACACGCTGAAGGTGGTTGTTGTTATCAGGTGACTCTGCAAGACTTTACTGGAAATGTTTGCCGATGGTAGCATTCCGCAATATAAGGTCTTTTCGTCTTTGTGTTAATTAAGCTGTCTGCTATCATTTTCAGTATTTTCTTCATATCACGCCTCCTGCTTAGGACGTTCCTAACTGACTTCTATATCCGGATGCCAACTGTGTGATATCATCTTGCGTGTGTAGCGGCCGGTAGACTATCTGTGCGCTTTACGATGCATCCCAAGCACAATGAAGCTGTCCAGCAACCTAAGTGTTCGGCTTGCAAAAGAATAGCATGGGAGAGCAGCTTTTTCTGCGCTTAGTCGCACACTAGTCAAGGACAAATTGGGTTAGCTACGCGTACTAATCCGGTAATTAGGCACTCATTTGCAAGTTACGCTCTACGTTGCTTTGCCCCAGATGTCAGTATTAGCGGCCAGAATTTCGATTACTCATTTATAGACTAGGAAAAATATGCCTCGGAACTTCACAATGGTAAACATCTCTGACACCGATACCGATAAGCAATGTAATTTTGTAGTGATATCGAAGTGCTTACTAGGTTAGTACAGTGAGTTTTCTAAGGGGCGTCCAAGCAGGGCAAAGATTGGCTAATCCATCTGTGTCTTCCTTCAATTTTTAATGAACGGAGTTGGAATTTTCGTCCCACCTACAGGTCGTATCCACTGATCGTACAGATGACAAATCACAGGTGATAGAGAGGTGGGTGACTTGTCAAACAAATAGGTAAGTTAGTAAAAACTTACGTTGGGACTACCCGTGAAAGGTAACTTGGGCTTGGAAGAGTTGAATAGTTGTAGACTCTCAAGTAAACCCAGCCATTCTTGAAAATTCCACCCTTGCGGTAAACATGACTGAAAAAGCGGTAAATAATTCCATTCGTCCATTAAAAGGCCTGTGTTTGTGGGGTTTTTCAGGCTCTGATCCGGAAGGGAATAGGCTGGAACGAGAGTGACTGCCGCGTGCCACACACTGACAACGCAAAGCACCCCCAGCGACATGAGCACGTATTTGTCCTAAAAGTGGAACATGATAGGATTTCAGAAGAGCATTTGGCAAGCATACGCGTGCTTTCGATAAATTTTCATCGGGCACAAGGACTTAAGCGTCTGCAGCTTAAAGTGACTGCCTGAGCTACTGCTAAACAAACTGTGCAATGAGGCCATAAAGCTCCCTTGGAGGCCAAACTTGTGACTACGATTCCTGAGATTGCTCAGGAACGATTTCTCTTAAAATTTTGGGTAGACACAATTGGCCGTACCTATGAGAAGATACTTTAGTTTTTTGCTGAAAAAATAAGCTCAGTCACATTAAAATTGGAAAACATCTGAAGCCAGTGGGATAACCGTGTGCCGAAATCCAGCGTTTCATTGTCCATTTCTAAATTACAACCGATCAGATGTGGGTTGCTTGTCAGCAATAGAGCGTTAAACGAAAAACGGTAGAGCCTTATGTTAAATCCACGTCTCATCTGCCTGGTTCTTATTGTCTAGTTAAAAACGTAAATAAGTTCGTGATGAACATTTAGGACACCCTGGCTTTTATTGGCAAACCTTCCAACCGTGTATTATTTATCTGTCCCCGACTATTGTAACCCTGCTTATGCAGTGATTGCAGGTCGAAGGAAGATTTGAGGAATTTTTAGCCTTGTGAGCCTGTCTTGATAAAAGATGTTGTTGCTCTTCTCACATGCGTACCATGGCAAATACCTGAAATATTATAAGACAACTGTTGGACGTCTGCATTTATCAGATTCGCCTTGCTGTCCCGGCAGAACAATCAATCAGCTTGTACTAGGTTCCCTATCCAGTCAAAAAGAACAGAACATCGGGAGATTTGCAAAGCCGATATGCGCAGTGGTGGCAAAACAGAGGCAGAGCACTCGAAGCAAGCTCTGCGGTTTGGCGGTTTGATTCAGTCAATCTGACTGTGTGTTATCCATTGCGCGTGCACTGCCGTAATAAAAAGAGTACAAATCTCACTCCTGCTTGGTGTCCCATGATTCACATCTCGGCGGGTCCGAAATCGAACACAGAATCTCATCTTCGGCCTGTCGTTGGGGATACTGACCAGTTCTGAACCTTGTTGTAGTTTGTGCTTCTCCGTTTCACTGCACTCGAGATTCATCTAGTCTTAGTGTTTAAAACTGCACCCGACTGGCCACTAAGTCGACCTTGATGTAAGAGGGAGACGAATTTCCATAGGTGGCCTCCTTCCTTCTGAAACAACCCTGGTTCACAAGCCTGTCAGCTTGTCTCCCTCTAGCGGTACTGTTTTGGGTGTCACCTATAGTAATATCCCCTCCAAATGTCCTTCGCGCTTGTCTTGCTGATTATCGTCTGACGACATATCTCAGTTAACTCCTCGAACGTTCGCGAACACGTGAATTTTTAGGGTCTTAGGTGCTGATGTTATTCTCGGAAAGTGTGTTTGGGGTTCTATTGTATTATATGCAGTAGACAACAAATGGGCATATTGAAGATAAAATGGACATACCATAAAAGTTAGGTAGGAAATTTTGGGTAGGGACTGGTTGATTACAAACTTGAAGGCAACGGAGGTTAGAAAGAGGGTGAAGGAGAGTTGCAGACGATTTTCCGGCCGTTCCGCCGACACTGCAAACGTCGGAAACGAGAGTCCCGTAATGAAGAACTGAAAGCGACAGAATATTAGTAATGTGGGCTGGTACAGTAGACGATTGCTTAGCATGTGGACTAACGGAGGTACATGGTTAGCTATAAGTACTGAAAGGAGCTCGCTCTGCTTTGCGGGGACGTGTTCATTTCAGGATAAAATTCGTTGGACTCATCTTTTGACAGATGGTTTAACTGATGTACTGAACGTTAGAATTTCAGGGTCCAGCGGTCGTTTGACTGCTTAGCCAGCAACCTCCCGAGTTTAGTAATTAATTAATTAAGGATTGGATATTGGTCATTTACCAGTGAGTTTTTGTACGCTATAACCACATCGAAACGACTAAATCGTATGCCTCCTTGTTACTCATGCTCAAACAAGTGACTAGGAGTACAACCCTGAAAGCCAAAACGTCTGCGCATAGGGCTCATCATGGAGACGCTTAGGTTTGGTAGAGGGGCGCGCACTGATCGCTTTACGGAACTCACTCATTCTTCTGTGATTTTGGGCCCTAACTCCAACCCGCTGGCTGATGACAGCCAGCAAGCCAGAATTGGTCATTGCAGTCCCCTTTTCTCTATCGGCAATGCTATCCTATACGTTGTTTATAGTTTATGGCATGTGAGGGCACCATCCTGCCTGTCTAAATCAAAATGCCAGAACATTTCTAGTGCAACTATGGGTCACTTGGTTGACAGTGGTCATTGGCTCAATGTCCACCAGACATTCCAAGTAATCTATAAAGTACCGGCCGGACGCTCTAGGTTCCTGCACTAACGGATGCTTACGACGGCAGACGCGGTGACCATACGACCAATCAACTCAACCGTGTGCCCGAAGAAGGCGTTGGTTAAACCCCTCAAGTTTACCTGGCCCAAGTCAAGCCCTACATGTTCGCACCCGCATCCCACCACGTCGTTGTAGCGACGGAATATGAACATTATGCACAGGCAGATTCCCCTCCTTTCCCCACCCCATTCCCATCTTCCGTGCTGCGTCGTAATTATTCCCTTGATTCTGACATGTCTGAACTCTCTCAGTCCTCTCCACCTGACTACGGTTCATTGGCTGTTTTTATCTTGCTACTCACTCTAGTTTATATTATTGCAAGGCCTGATGAGGAAAAACCAAAAATTTACATTTGTCGAGTTGACTTCAAAGTTTATGAGCACACAGTTTGACCAGATAAAGATACCTTTACAGGGAAGTATAACTTTGACGGTAATATCATTCTGCCTATATCATGGGCCGCTGTGGGGCTGCCGGTTGGGCTCGAGAGAGAGTCCATAAGGAACAACGGCACGAGTGAGTTCCGTAAGAACGATCGGTGAGCACCCCCTACTATAACTTTGACCTTCAAAAGCGTTTTCGAAAGTAACTAGAACAACTTTTTCGGGAAAACCTGTTTGATATGATTAAAATGAGACATTGATGACTGCTTAAAAACAAGCGTGAAACAAAATTGGCGTGGAAGTTTGGACACTAATAAAAGAAACTCGATTTCTCGTTGGATTAGTTTTGCAAATCCGTTTGAGATTTGTTTAAGCGACATTCGTAAACACATACTTAACCAATTCGGTTCTCTGCACAGTCTCGAAAACTACTAATTCCCCCTCATCAACGAGAATCGACATTTAATGTAAAAGCCGTACGTTCAGAGCTTTTGAGTGGAAGTTAACAGTTGCCGAGGCTGAAAATGATTGTTGGGTGTGGAAGAGTTATGTCGACTTCGCGTAAAATAAGTGTAGGTGTTGGATGCCTAGACTACACTGAAATATACTGACGAGGAAGTCACTTGTCATTTATCAGGTTAAATTGCTGCTAATCAACTTGTGCGCTAGGTTTATCATTTGTTTGCGGTACCTTCGTCAGTGTGGTCTTTCCGACTGCCTATTCCCAAGGTCACGTAAACAGCAAGAACGAGTAGTCTGAAAACTGTGCTTTAACTCACCATAATTAAGAACACGTTCCAGTAGAAGTAACCAGGCCGTCTGGCGGCTCGGCAAGTCACTGAAAGGCAGGAGTGACTTTGTGAAGAATTTGAGAATTCCTGAACGACGGATCGTTTGCTGATTTCAATATGTTCGTGAAGATGCCATTCCTAGAACGGAGCCAAGTAAACAAAATGGCGCAAGGATTTGGCGCAGCGGAAAGATGAGGGTTAGGGTGCTCTCTTATACATGCTCGCAATCGCTAAATGGGGCTTAAAAGACAAAAGCAGTCGAAGATAATTGAGAAAATATCATCGGTTTCGAATATGTACGTTGCTATTTTACTACTGGGTTGGAAGACAACACGGAGACGCAATGCTGCTCTATATCCTTTAATTAGCGAAGCGGCACCACAGCATGACCTTGAGTAGTTTCGATGAAAAACCCCTTGTTTGCTCGGACGTTAGCTACATTAATACAGTTTCATTCTTTCTCCATGTTTTACATTTTTTCACTCAATAGACCGTGTTCTTAGCAATGCCAATATTATTTTTCATACTGACTATGCAAGTTGGTCTAAATCTCAGTGTACCTGACTTTCCTTATTAATTCAGCACAGAGACAGAACGGGCTTGGGAAACTGACACGAAATTTTTATGTCAGTTTGTCTTACCATCAACAAACTTCAAAAATCCCTAAACGCGGTGAGCTGAAATATGTCGCAGGTAAGTGTTATGACCCAGCCTGTTACAGAAATCACGCGAAGCGTATGCGCACTCGACCGTTATCGCCAACATCACCACGGCAGAGAAAGAGCAAACAATCGGCCACGAAAACACGACAATACACGCATGTATCGTCATTTAAAAGCTGCGTACATTTATAGCATCTCGTCCAGGTTGGCCAATTTCTGTCTAATCTGCTTCAGGAGAAAGTTCTAGAAGAGCCGAGCGACTCCCCGCAGACGTGAACCAATCAGATCTGACGGGAGCACTGTGGTCGCAGCCAGTGCGGGACGCTATCGGGTGCAGCGTGGGGGACGCTCACACGTACCGCTCTGCGAAATCGACCCTGTGGGAATGTGGGCGGTCGGTTGATTGTTACTTGCTCGTCGTAGGTCTAGCGCAAAATTAGGTATGCGCACGGCGTCGATCGACTTTCTCTGGCCGACCCTTCATAAATGATGTTATAGCCCGACAGTTGATGGAGGAGGATGAAAGCGTGTTCTGGGACAACTCTGCTCTCACGGCCTTTGAACACGGTTTTCAGCTCGGCAAAGAACGCTTATTTACTTGCGGCCCTGAGTGTTCTGGGACATTCCAGCCTATGGCGTGCCCATTCTAGAACATCCTGGACTATGGCACGTCGGTCATGGAGTTGCCGTTGCGTGCGCGAGAACCCCCTGGTGCAAAAGTGTTGAATATTCGACCGACCATTGATTGGGCCGCACGCGTGGACAAAGGCACTGCACATGCTCGATGCTGAAGTACGAGCTGGTTTGCCCCAAAAACGGGTCGCGCGATTCATGCGCTGGACCAACAGGGCGTCGGATTACGTTCCAGCAGGCGTTATCGGGAGATGCACGCCCATCACAAATGCCAACATTGGGGCGTGGTGGCACGCACACGTACAGGCTCATGCCGCGCCCATTGGGATCCGCGTCACTCCCCTATCTTTTTTGTGGTATAAAATCCTGGTTAGTGTCCCTTGTGGACCAGGGGGTGCAGTGGTACGCCTAGGTGCGAGTTGCGCCGTGAAAACTACCCACGGCCTCTCCCGCCTCCGGTCTTCTTGACTGTGTCTTGACACCGGACCCGGTTGGAGGAGGAGGAGAGTGCGGTAGACGCCGCGCAAGTATACACTCACTATAAAAAAAATCACGCGCAAGTCACCGTGCACGCTTCACCTTGCTGTTGATCACACGGTGGACATCGTCGAAATCGACGGTCGAGTTTTTGTCGTCGGTTTGCTGCCTAATTTCACGCGTATCTCGCTGCGGGCTTGACTTGGAGTTCCGTGCGTGGTTAAGTCTTCCTTCGGCCTTAATCCGTGACTCCACGTCGTCTCCAGTAGACTTCCCGAAGAAATTAATTGAGTGTGCTTGTACATATTATCTATAGTTTACGTGTTTTGCTAACTCCATGTGCCCTCAGGCAACCTGAATGCAAAATTAATTATCTTTTTTGTTCTGTTTTTATACACTGTTCGCTCCCTCTCTGCTGGAAATCCACATGTCGCCAGCTGTTGTGTGACAAGTACGTGGGTCAAAAGCCAACGAAAATGATTTTATTAAGTCCCACAATAAACACTAAATCATAAATAATACTTTGATGGGAGAATCTGAAAATGCCTACCTGCTGGTCAACAAACGTCTGAATGTTTATTGCGCAAAGATCTTTGTTGTCGGGTACCAAGTCAACTTCTGTGTCCGGGCGTTCGGAAGAGAGGGTAATGGTGAGGTCCTAAATATCAATCAATTATGCTTTTTCGGATGTAAACGATTAAAACTATAATCTGGAAACAAGTATGCTGTTGAAAAATCGAGAGACTTGGGTTGCCACCTTATACGAGTAATCCAGTTCAGTTTTACAAGGATCGAATCATTTTATTCCCATACCTTCTCTTCGCAAGGTTCGGTGGTCATCGCTCGAACCCATTTACTCAGTGTTCCATCCGCTCAACTATTCGCTGGAAGGGTCTTTTAGGTAACATGCTTTTAGAATTTGCATATTCGGCTCCAGTACCTCTGAGGTGTCAGTGTAGTGTTCTAATAAGTTCTAAGATCTGTAAAAGTTTGATAGTTCTGAATTTTCTCATCCTGTCCACCTAAAGCACCGCCTTTAGTTCAACCGCCAAAATGTGTGTTGTCTTCTAAGCACAAGTTATTTGTGCTCCTAAATTCCTCTTTTCTGGTCAAGAATTGCTTTATTTCTTAATGCGATGAAGCTTTTCAAACTCAATATGTACGGTCAGGCAATCTCATAGTGATTTCCAGCTACGGTTCAGCAAAGAAGGTATTAAGCAAACACTGGTATGAAATACGCTTTTTCTGGTTCTCAAGTACTCCACTGGAATTATGCCACAATTTAAAAAGTTGAACTTTCTCAAGTCCTAGTTTATCTGCCCCCTCAAAACTTTCGGCCCAAAAGGTAACATCCTTCGACAAGCATTTGATTGATACATGGAAGCTGTATTTTATTCCTGACGCACCCTCGCTCTCAAAGCACTAGAGCGAATACTTAAGTGATTGTTGGATGGATAAGCGCTTGGATTTTCTTGCGGCAATGATGATCGGCCCCACATATGAGTATTTCTGGAGCAACTGATGTGACGCCATTATCCTGCAAAATACACGTATGTACTAGAATATTTACAAGGCAGAGTTGTGAATTTTCACCATCAAAACCGACCTCACACCAAGAACCCATTTCAAGGAACACGTTTCATTATGTCAACCCAATCATTTCAGCCATGGGGGAGTCAAATAAAAATGTTATTATTTGAGGAAAACGCTAAATTCTGCCATAACTTTAAGGATTTTGATTCAAAAAGACTTTTTTACAGTGTGACCATACACGACTTTGTAATAATCCTTCATATTTGGGCAAATTGTCCCTCTCCTCAGTACAGCGTATCAATGCCCCGGATCTCTGTTGATACTGCTCCCGCAAATTCGAACGCCAATTGAAGGCTTCCTGCCTATAGGGTTTTAAAATCCAAGACGAAAAAGTGGAAATCATATGTTGTTACTGTGGACTAGAGGAAGAAACAGTTTATTGGCGAACGTGATATGGTGGAGCGCAAAGTAGTTCATATTTAATGGAAGGTGTTTCGGTAGGACAGTGTGTTCCGTTTTAAAAGCAGCCGAATTTTTGGACCAAAGATGTTGTAAGCGTTCAACGTTAGTAGGCCTAGCAATAACCTCATAAAATCCAGGCAATAACAACGTCAAACAACTGCCACATTGGGTAAGGTCACATGTTTAAAAAGAATATTGCAATTGAAATCGCATGCCTCCATGAAAAAAATAAAGTTCTAAAACTGTGATTCTCGTAAAGGAACAAACGGTGGGTATGTTAAAATAAACATTCTGATTTACGAAGTTGCGTGAGAGTGACATTCACCAATCTGTCCAGATTTCAGGACGAAATTCGGCACTTGCGTTTAGTCGCGAAAGTGCAGGTTTGTGTCCAGTGCTGGGTGTGGCATGAGGACTAACAATCGACAAGAGATAAATGGCATAAACAAAGACTATAAGCAGACATTCCAGTGGCCAGCAAATTTTCTTGATTATCATGATATTTGTTTTGGGTTCTTTTTTGGACAGCCGAGTTCAGCAGAAATGTGCGATAACTAAATCGAAGGACAATGTCGCGAATTTGGGCCTGCACCCGGAAATTCCTCCTTAGGTCAGTACGATTGTGCGGGTTTGTTTCCCGACAGAAAAGTACTGAACGGTAGTAAGATTACTCATACTGATTGCAGCAAACATGAGAGTCCCAAATAGGGTAACAAAAGAGAAGAAAGAGGACGCTGGGACAGCTTTGTTTGCATCTGAATTTTTGGGTGGCACGCGAGGTCCTTCATCAGCAGGATATGAAGCGCCCGCCTCGCAGCCGATTCTGTAAACCAAGCTACGGGTGAGGGGCTGTTGTGCGTGTTTGCCCCCCTGCGCCTTCATGGAATTGTTTGATTCGCTGCCTGTGCCCAAACGAATGGTCGCGAGACGGGGTTCTAGGGGCTTCCACTTGTGACTCCACGTGAAGGTTGTAGTAGATCACTCGCTAGCTTGCAGCTGTTGACTACGCCTACCGTCCACTAACTGACACCCGACTCGCACATGTGGCTCTCGGAAGTCAGGCTCTGTCAAGCGGCAACACCCCGGTAACCGCCTCGACCGTGCGGGCTAAACCAGGTAAGGGTATCCGTGTGTGTATCTCCACACACACGGTGATTCTGCTCCTCCCACCGTCGCTGACACTACGAACCACCGCATCGCCATCTGCAGGATGAGGTTCCGTCCGCAACCCTGCAGGAGGCCACAAGGTCAGTGACCCCGCAGGCAAGTTGAATACCGTTTAGTTGTCTGTGCCCGCTCACACTTGCATTTCAGCACTCAGCAAGCCGCTGACCCAGTGGCTGGAAGCCCTGCCCCATTCTACTCCTGCGCATCTTTCTCCGATCTTCTCCTCCACCATTCACTCCCTCTACTTTCTACCCTCTTACCCTCCCCCCAGGCGAAAGTCCTACGGCAAAGTTCACATGCAATCAGGAAGGCGACTCAAGCCATTGGTCGTTCGTTCACTAGACCTCGTGACCCATAGAGCAGAGTAGTATCCGTCTCGTGCGATAAAGCAGCACCACTTAGGGACAGCACTGCCTTTCCCCGCGAGGGGCAGGGGGCTATAAAATGTGCCCTTAACAAAGCTGGGTTCACGAAATATGTGCGCAGACCGTGGCTCGCAGACTGATAGACATGCGGTCGAAAAAAAAACAGGACACAATACTCTCTCTCATCCACCTCCTCCCTGCCGATCCACCCCACGGGCAGCTAAGGTGAGTCCGCCCATTCTGGCAGCCTGAAGTGTTCTCTCGGTTTTAAACAATCCCGGGAGCAACCGACCTGAAAGAAAGACTGCGCTAGTGGCTCGGGAACCGACGCGCTATAAGGTGGACATCTCTGCACTCCGCGAGACCCTGTTCTTCGAACAAGGCCAAATGGATAAAGTGGGTGTCGGCTACACCTTCTTCTGGAGCGACTGCCCCAGGGCAGAGCGAATGGACGCGGGCGCCCCCTTTACCTCCTGGAACGACTTTCCTGTCTGCTGCAGGGCATCAACGATCGCCTGATGAGTCAGCGTCTGCCTCTTCGAGGATCCTAATTCGTCACCATCATTAGCGCTTACGCCCCAACAATGGCCGGCTTAGACGAGGCGAAGTCCAAGTTATACGAGTACCTGTATGCCCTTCTGGCGTCTGTGCCGAAAGCGGACATGCTGGTTGTCCTTGGTGACTTCAACGCGCGAGGGACAGACTGTGCTGGAAGGAGGGGAGTGCTGCGTACTCACGGTCTCGACGGCTTCGACGACAATGGCCTGCTCCTCCTACGAACTTGCGCAGAACACCGGCTCATCCTGACCAACACCTACTTCCGCCTCCCGATGCGAGAAAAGGCCACCTGGATGTACCCTCTGTCGCGACACTGTCACTTGCTGGGCTATGTCCTCGTCCGGATGTGAGACCGGCGGGACGTGCTGGTGAAAACGGCGATCCCGGGTGTCGAAAGCTGGGCTGACGGTCGCCCCGTAACCTCCAAAATGAGGATCCGCCTACAGCCTCGCAGGAGACCTCATAGTATACGCCTCTCAGGTAAGTTGAATACTTCTTTGTCGTCTTTTGTCTGCTAATCACCTCCATTTCAGCAACGAGCAAGCCCAACGTTAGCCGACATTATAGTAACCGCTGTCGCCACCGACGACGAGGACGCCAACGTGGAGAACCGATAGTGCCAACTGAGTGACATAATTCAGTCAACCGATCTGGTTGTCCTCGGTCGCGCACGCCGCCAACATCAAAACTGGTTTGTCGACAGTGACGCCGCCATCGGCATCCCTCCCGCCGAAAAGGACCGCCTGCACAAAACCTACATCACCCGCGGTACCAACGACAACAAATTTACTTTCTCCCGTAGTTACGGCCTTGTGCATCAGCGGCTGCGGGAGATGTAGGACGCCTGGACGGCTCGGGAGACCGAGGAGATCCAAGGGTATGCGGATTTCTTCGCTGCGATCAAAGCTGTCTACGGTCCCGCAGCCAAAGTAACTGCTTTTCTCCTCAGCGCCGACGGAATTACCCTATTCACTGAGAAGGCACAAATTCTGCATCGATGGGCCGAGCACTTCAGGGGCATCCTCAAGCGTCCCTCCACAACCTACGACGTCGCCATCGGCCGTCTGCCTCAAGTGGAGACCAACACCAGCCTCGATCTCCCGCCATCTTTCTACGAAACCATCAGCACCGCGCTGAAACTCTCCAAAGGGAAAGCGCCCGGATCGGACGCGATCCCTGCTGAGATTTACAAGCACGGTGGCCTCCAACTCATGGATCATCTGACAACGGTCTTTCGGGAGATGGGACACCATACACAAGTCCCTCAGGATTTCAAAGACACCGCAGTTGTCCATCTCTACAAGTGGAAAGGGAACCGTCAACTCTGCGACAACCACGGAGGGGTTTAACTGCTCATCATCGCTGGGAAGATCTTCTCTTGAATCCTTCTCAACCGTCTCAACAACCATCTGGAACAGAAACTTCTGCTAGAAAACCAATACGACTTCCGCTGTCACCGGGCAACTACCGACATGATCTTCGCCGCCCCCCCAGCTACAGGAGAAATGTCAGTAGATGCTGATCCACCTCTACTCTACCTTCTTGGATCTGACGAAAGCCTTTGATACGGCGAATCGCGGAGGACTGTAGAGAATCCTACAGATATTCAGCTGTCCCGTACGATTCACTCAGATGGGGCGTCAACTCCACGATGGCATGTCGGTGCGCGTCACGGACAATGGAGTTGTGTCAGAGGCATTCGCAGAGACCAACGAAGCGAAGCGGGGCTTAGTCCTCGTGCCTACTCTCGTCAGT